GGAAACGAATAATCGACGTCCCCTCTCCTTATTGCCATCAAATTTCAGGAACTTTTCACTCACCAATAGTCTACCAAAGAAGGAAACGAAAAACTATGACCTTGAAATTCCTTTAATTATCACGACGAAGTCTGGGAGTCAGCGAACGTCACAACGACAAGAGGAAGACCAAACATACGAACCCGGACATGAATATGAACCCATTGATGATCCACCGACTTATGCCGTAGCCACCATGACTCCCTCTCCGCCGGCCTATAATGACGAAGAGAATGATGACGACGACGACGATGATGATTATGATGATGATATCGAATAGTTAGTGGCACTAAAAATATTCAGGCTAATATGTAATTATTTTATTCACGAACATAATTTTTATTCACACTTGTACTATTAGATATATCATTCACATAATGTCATATTTAACCGTTATTCATGATTCGCAAATTTATATTTTAAATGGTGGAGTGTTCATTTTCATGGTAAATGTATTGTTTATCTTACAACTTATATACAATAAAATATCCGACTATCATTATCAAATTACGTGCAATTGTGCGCAATCCTTCGTTGGTTCCACTAGAAAGCTCCTCAAGCCCAATACCTGACGAATTCATTCATAGTGACCAAGCTCTGCTAAATCTTCATATATCGCAGCAAAGATATATTTGCGTAATATTTTGGCCTAACATTAGTTTCTTTCAAAAGCATCTGCACAGATAATTTCATATCACCATAACAATATTGTTTTTTTTGATTTACTTGTTTATCTTTTATCTAATGAAAATTGAAAGCTTTTGTATTTAATAATTAAAATTGATGTAAATTAAATATTTTCTTTTTTATTTGTATGTATTAATTAATTTTTTTATGAATGCTTTTTTTTAAAAATCATTTTGAAAATAAACGTAATATAAAATTTATTGAATTCATTATTGCATCAAATCAACAAAAAAAAAAAATTTTTTTTTTAATTGTTATTAAAATACCAATAACAAATTTTTTTATTTCTATAAGTGTTACACATGGTTTCAATTGCAAGAATTCTTTGGAAAAATAAAGTTTATAAAGAAATAGTTCTTAAAAAATCAACTGAAAATTTGTCAAAACTATTCTTAATAACTTAAAAATTAGGATAAAAAAATTATTCTTGCTATCCATTTATCTTTTCCTTTTATAAAATATTATCTTAATTGAATCACAAAATTAATAAAATATGTAATAAGCAATGAGCTAACAAAAGATTTTTAAAAAAACTTATACTAGTCTTAATATTATATTTTAAATTATTAAAAAAAAAAACCTTTAATAAATTAAATATAAAGTTGTATTTTCTATTCTATTTTTTTTTTTTTTTTTTTTTTTTTTTTAATCCACCGTCAGGCTGACACAGCTTATCTTTATTGTGTATTTAAAATATTATACAATTTCAAAGATTTTCACATGACAGCTCATCCGTCTTAGAAGTTTATCTTCTCTAGATGC